CTCTAGGCTCTTTGAAATATTCTAGGAAATTGTAATATCTTGTCTCCTTGGCTCGATGAAAACTCATCGTATAGCCCAAAGCATATTAAGGTTTTAATTTCTCATTTGGCTCAATAAATGAAATAAGGTGAAAAGTCATATTGCAATTGTGGCTTAGTGCCAGATTGGTTCTTACACCGTGGAGTTTCTTTTCCAAGTCAAGATAGCTGCCATGACCAGATGGAAGATCCTGTTAAATCTAATAAGATAGAGAAACGGGATGGGGTTGGGGATATTTGTGCAATGGTGCCTATTACCTGGTTTCTATGTGGATTTTCAATATGCACAAAGCTCTGTACAATTCTTCTTATGTGTCTGTTCTTCAAGGTGAATACAAAATATTTCTGTATTAAAGGGAGGCTGTGTGGGAAATGCTGATGAAAAGTATTGCTTCAGACCATCCCCTGGCAGAGGTTGTCATTCATGTGTTAGCTTGAGTGTTCTTGTTTCTGGTCCAATATCCAGAAGTACAAGACCGGAGATAGCAGCTCTAGGCTAATGGGAATTAAACTACTTAATGCAGTGGTTCTCAACCTGTGGGTCGGGACCCCATTTGGGGTCGATCGACCATTTCATGGGGGTCGCCAAGCAAGGCTGTCCGCCATTTTTTTTGTCCGCCATTTTTTTTCCGCCATTTTTTCTCCCTTTTCCGGCAGGTGCCTTACCTCCCTTGGGCTGGGCCAGCTGGTGGTCGGCCTATTCCGTCTCTGCCGCTTGCCAGCTACGCCTCGGCCGGCGCAGGGGGCGGAACCACGCATGCGCGGTGCTCCCAGGCAGGGAAAGTCCTCGACTTACGACCGGTTGGGTAGTCCTCGACTTACGACCGGCGTAGTCCTCGACTTACGACCGGTTTAGTCCTCGACTTACGACCGGTTGGGGTCGCGGCATTAAAAAGGTTGAGAACCACTGACTTAATGGGAACTTGATAACCAAGGAAGCTGGCATGCAGATTTCTTACCAAACCCAAGTTGCTGCATAGGAAAGTTCTACTGCATCTGATGTTACAATCCAGATTGAATCATTCACTAGTACTGAGGTTTACTAATTTGTGGGCTGGTTGGTCGGTCATATTTCCTCCATAAACTGAGAGTTCATTGGGTTTTTGTTTTTTCTTTAAATCTGCTTGCTCTTCACTTTTGAATATTGAGGATTCTTGAAGTATTGAAAGAAGCCTTGTTGATTTTTTTTTATTAGAAAGCCTAAATGAAAAATGAAAAAAAAAACATTTCAGATACTTCAGACAGAATGTGAGACGATAAGGCAAAAGGGTTCTCTTAGGAGTGCAAATGAAAAGTTAACCCAGGGTGTTCTTCCCTCCTTCCCCATTGATCTTTGTGGTCCCACAAAGTGGAGTGGAATGGGATGTTATGAAGAGGTAAGACATGTGTATACTGAACTCAGCTGCACCCAACATTTTGTGTCAACTACAGAAAACCTAGCGAGAAAAGGATCCCCTTAAGAGTCCAGTTAAGGGATGACTGAGATGAATATGAACTGCTTTGAATACTTTAATCTCTATTGGTAAATGCTCAGTACTTCATGTTATTATTATCATTTCCTATGCCTGCCCCATGGAAATGTGCTTTTCCAGCTTTTCATCCAAGAATGCTAACTCAGAATGACTTGAGAAATCTGGTTTATTATTTGGAGTAAGCATTCAGATGCCCACTATCCAGCCACTTCCACCCCCCTGCTTCAGTAAGTGGAAGTAACCATAGACTCACCCCAATGAAAAAATATATATTTGTATTATTGTTTTTTTTTGTTTATAAGTATTATTGGAGCCAGAGGTTTAGACTGATGTACATATCTAAGGTGCCTTGTGGAAAAACAAGCTATGGCCCAGACTTCACCATAAAGCTAAGGTGGCTATCCTAGCTATTTTCTGATAACCTCAGCTTGCAAGGGAAGTGAGCTGACCAGAGGAAGTCAGCAGGCACCAGCAAAGTTGCTCCCAGACCACAGCAATTCTGGCTTAGCATTTTGTGAGACTACATTGAATCCAGACCCTTACTTTTCAGCAAAACCGACTTTTGCACTTTGTATATTTAATTTGACCTGTTTTCTTATCTTTTTTTTTTTGCTGCTATACTCCACCAGAGACCAAAGAGGTAAAAACTAAAAATACTTGTAGTCCTTGATTTACAATCCTTCATTTAGCAACCATGGAAAGTTACAATGGCACTGAAAAAGTGACTTACGACTGGTCCTTACACTTACAGCCGTTGCAGCATCCCTGTGGTCCCGTGATCAAAAGGTGCTTATATTATTGTTATTTTTTTAAAAAGGTGCTTGGCAACTGGCATCTAGTTGTGATAGTTGCAGAGTCCTGGGCTCACGGGATCACCAATTGCACCCCTCCCATCTGGCTTCCTGACAAATAAAGTCAATGGGAGAAGCGAATTTGCTTAACAGCTATATCAGTGGTGACAAACCTATGGCACACGTGCCAGAGGTGGCACTCAGAGCCCTCTCTGTGGGCATGTGTGCCATCGCCCCAGCCCCGCCTCCCTCTGCGCCCCTCTCCTCACCAGCAGGCCCCCCCCCGGAGGAGAGTCACCCCAAAGCGTAGCCCATGCGGAGCAGTGCAGCCAAGGAATGGCAGCCAGGCAGCGGAGACAAGACTCTGCCCTCGCACCCCGTCATGCGCAGTTGATGCTGCGGGGTGCGGGCAGAGGGCATGGCCACCATGGCACTGCTGGGCCGCCTGGGCAATCTGCGGCAGGCCATGGAGGCGGTAAATAGCCCTGCGGATGGGCGGGGAGCGGGGTGGGGGCGGAGCAGGCAGGACAAGTGCGAAGCAGGGGCGGGCGGGGGAGCAGGGCGGGGCTAGTTTTGGGGCACTCGGTTTCTAAACTGAGCTATATGAATCACTGAGCTATATGAATCACTTAACAACCATGACAAAAGAAGTCACAAAATCAGGCTTGACTCTCTTAACAACCACCCTGTTTGGCAACGTAAGTCCCAATTGTAAGTCAAGGACTATCTGTAATATGTTTCAATGCCTCTGGCGCTGAGGAATTTGCACATTTTATTATAATAGGGAACATATTTCTGGCGTCTCCGGGGACCATCACATTTCTTGCCTTGGAGTAACCTGCCACAGGAAGGAGGGCTTTATAAGCGTAGACTCCTAAATTAAACTAATGGTTTAACACAAAAAAGTGCTCTCAACAAAAGGATTTCTAGGGAGTTGCTAGAAATTGCAGTTTGAACTGGCACCCTGCTACTGTTTCCTAGCTACAGTTACTGTCAATAGACAATTTGGTGTCTAGAAAATGTGATGATATGGACACTATGCAGCGAAAGCAGCTTCTAGCACAAGCACATCAGAGTTAAAAGCATTGAAGTCAGTATTTATCATTGTTGGTGAATAGTATTCTGACCAAAGGGAGCCATAATTTGGAGGGCATTACTCGACAGGATCATAGTGGCATGGATCTTAGTGATTGATTAGAAGTAAGTTTGTATTGCTTGATGGTGGTATCTCGTACATGATCTCAATTCTTTATACACGTGCTACTCTTTTTAGTCAGGCATGTAATCTTTAGTATTGGATCATCGTAATACACCAAAGAAATAATTCTTTAAAAAGGAAGGAAACGTGTTGAGTTCCTTTACACTGTAACCTTGATTGTGGGGGTACATATTTGAAATTATCACTTTGCCCATTTGTTCCACAGTAAGTTTTTCTTCAATTCCCAAATTATTTTTTTGTTCCTTACCTTTCTTCATCAGGGTAGGGACCTAGTTTTCTTTTTTCTTTTAACCAATCAGCTCACATAAGCGCAAAATCCCGTTTCCAGCGGGACATTGTATGGCAAAAAGTGGTGACAAAGAAAAATTTGCAACACCAAAAAAAGAAAAAAAAAATACACAGCAATTTTAAGGGTCTATATTCAAAATGCAAATACCTCCTCTGGGCTTCTCCACTGAGTTTTAAAGGGTTTTCTTATTTGCCTTTTCATCCCTCCTTCTGTTCCTTAACGGTCCTTTCACCTTTCTTTATTCAGATATACTTAATGGTGCATTTGTTGTGAAGCTTCTGTACTCTGCACAGCATGGCTAGCTGAGGGTCTCCTCATTGAATGATGCAGACTAGGCTGGCAAGAAACTGGGGGGGGGGTGTTGCCAGTAGTATCCACCGTTATAATTGACCTTGCTTTTCATTAAAATGTTGTCCTCCTTTGTTCTTTCTCGTCTTTGGCTTTTGTTTCATCGATGCGTGGGTGACAAGAAATCTCAAATGCTTTTGCCTTTTGTGAAAGTGTTCAGATCTATCTATCTATCTATCTATCTATCTATCTATCTATCTATCTATCTATCTATCTATCTATCTATCTATCTATCTATCTACCTACCTACCTACCTACCTACCTACTGTATCTATCTATCTATCTATCTTCATCAACGTCCTCTTGTTTATGCACCACCCCACCACCTTTCCAATTGGTCTGATAAATTTCACACGCCGGTTGCATCAAAAGGTAATATCCTCAGCTTAATTGTAAGCTAAATCTCTCTTAATCCAGGGGAGCGTTTGAGATTCTATCCAAGTGTTCAATTTCCCAGGCCGCTGAGGTCTGTGAATTTCTTTCTCCAGCCTCCAGGCTGCTGCAGCACAAGTCAGCATAGCTAATGCAGATAGATCTCCTCCCCCTCCACACACTCTCCCCCCCCCATCTCTCTCTCTCTCTCTCTATCCCTCTCATTCCTCTTCTCGCGCCAACTCTACCCCCCCACCTTTGTAAAAAAAAAAAAAGCTGTGCTTTGATTCGATATGAACAGACTGGTAACTCTGGTGCTCCAGCAACATCTGACATAACTCTGCAGATGGCTATGTTCGGATGATATACCTAGGGTTTGGGGTGTTTTTTTTTCCCCTCGTTTTTTCCTTCAGGAAGGTAAAGACCTGTATGCTAATCCTCTCTTTTTCTCCTTGTTGCCATCTTTTGCAGGATTGCCAGCCCCAAAGAAGAGCCCAAAGTCGGTAAGCACTTTTCAGCTACTAGACCTGTTTGATTATTTTTGTCTGGGGCGTGGGTGGGCGTTTCTTGAAATACAGATAAAAAAATAAGGTGGGAAGCTAGATCTATGCAGCTGGCTCCCAATCCTCATCCCCACCTTAGCCAGTCCTTTTGAAAGTTGCCCGATAACCATTTTATTGCTGCACTAATTGCTTGGCATGGCTTTCGCTGGAAGGAGGTGGGGAAGGCAGGGCAGAAAGTGGTTAATGAAATTGGTGCCGGCGGGAAGACTTGCACTGGATTCAGTTTAGCAACTTACATATTTTCTTCTTTTGATATTGGGCTACCTGGGCATTTAATTTAGGCTTGAAATGCCCTTTCTTTCTTTCTTTCTTTCTTTCTTTCTTTCTTTCTTTCTTTCTTTCTTTCTTTCTTTCTTTCTTTCTTTCTTTCTTTCTTATTGTTTATTCCTCTCTAAAGATAGTACTCCCTATCGGTGACTACAATGGTTTTGAGCTTTTTAATGTGCTATATTATGAATAATGCATTGAGGGGGGAAATCTTAGAGCTGGCTGCCTATTACCGGAGAAAATCCCTTTTTATCAATACAAAAAGATATCCTTGTTGTTTCCCGTGACTGCGTTAAGCTGCCCCGGCATTTTGCTTGTGTGAAGCAGTTTTCTTTGGATAGGGAGATCATCCTTTATTGTTCTTGCTTGGATTCAGCAGCATTCAGTATGCTGCAGGTTGGATTTTTTTTTTTTTTTTAAGAAGAGAAAGAAGGGAGGGATCAATATTTTATTGTCCTTGCTAATCTCGTTTCTTTGCAGAGCAGTTACCTGGTTGACGTGTTAGCTAATAGCGGTGGAGGTGATTGCAGAGAAGTGTAATTAAAACGGGCGATGTTGCAGACCTACACATGCAGACCCAGAGGAATAATGTAAATTACTTTGGCTTTCTAGGGAGTTAGCTTCTGCGGGAGGAAAGTTTTCTCATTTGTTGGATGATGGATAAGGAAGCAGACAGGGTAATCTCCAGCCATTCAGTTTCTGGATTGCAGAGAAGGAGAGGATTGCAGTCATTAAGAGATTCTGCAAAACTTTGCAGACGGTTCCTTCTAGGGCTCCTTCGGATGAAACCCCACCTTTGTGTGACAAACGGGGGAGAGGTGTGCTGAAATCCCTTGCTAGTCTCCGTGCAACTTTGCTCAGTGAAAGAGCAAACCCTGATATAGTGAATGTGGCTTCTCCTGGCTTAAGCCACTGCTGATTAAAGTCACACATCCCCCCAGGCCTCTACTACGATCAGGTTTGCTTTCACACGGGTGAGACGGACAAGCATAATTTGTACTTAGTCTCAAATCCCACATACTCTGGGCTTAATTTTGTGTCACTGTCAGCAAAGGATTTAAGCCCTCGGTTAAAATGGAAGCAGGTATGCAAAATGTGGGAGGGGGATGGACAGGCAAGCAGAAATGGTAGCCCTTCCTGCTTCCCCTCCCCTTTCCTCCCTATCCCTGGAATTAAGTAAAATCTGATAACGGCATCCAAAACTTTGGTACGAGACAGCTGGTGGTCTTTTCCCTTCTTCGCTTAAGTTCCAGGACACCTTCCTCTACTAATCGAGAGGCTGTCCCAGGTGCCTACCTTGTGAGTAGCTCAAGAGATTCGTAAGAAGCTTCAGAATCTTCTGTATGCAATTTTGAGATCCATTTAGAGAGGATTTGGATGCTGAGTGAACAAAGAGGTTGTTTACAAACAGCTGTCATTCTAGAGCTCCTTCTTCTTTCCATTCACCCTCCCCCTTTCCATCTGTCTCAAGAGTCAAATCTTTACATAAAGGGAGAAAAAAAAACGGCAATATTGCATTGCCGAGAGCACACATGCCACGCCCCCTTTTTCATTTCCTTCAGAAGAGGGAAATTCTTTAGAAAAATATAATTTTATTTTATTTTTTAATAAAAAGAGCTTCCAAAATGGGGCAGTAGTTCTTTAATATGATGCTGGTTTGTGTGTGTGTGTGTGTGTGTGTGTGTGTGTGTTGTGTTTATGTTTTAGTAACAAAACGGCTTTATCCGAAGGTATCATTTTGCTGGTAGCAAGAAGCAGAAACACGAGATCTCGGGAGATGTTTCTTTATGTCACTAGAGATGAAATCAATCATAATATTGTAACGGGGATGTTTTAAAGTATGGGGTGAAATTAAAAGTATATGCTCTGGGAATCCACATTGCTAATGCTTGAAGCAGTTTTTCCTCCAGACATGTAATGATCCACCCTTCTCCCTCCCCCCACATGGGATTTTTCTGAATCCAATTCTTGAAAATGCTGTATAATATTAGCCAGTGGTTGCTGTTATTGGATGAAACCTACTTGTTGACAGCTTTCCAGGATGACAGAACCCCTTTGCCCTTGAAGTCCCCAGCGGTTACTAACATGGTCTGACAGTTGTGTTTCTTTCCCCCCTTCTACCTTTCTGGCTTTGTTTCCAAGAGTCCCTTAAACACTAATTATTTCTTGATCAATAATAGATTAGCTGTTGCTCTGTGAGCAATGTGCAGTTTCCTCTCCTGGCCACCCTTTTCCTCAGTTGTTTGAATTAAATTTAAAAATTCACCTTAGCAAACCTTTGCTTTCTCAGTCAGTTATGCTATGGGTGTAACGATTCCAGACATGCATCATGAGGTTTTATTCTGCATCATTCAGGACCCACCCTGAGTATCGTGCTCAGAGAATGATCAAGGGGCCAGAATCTAAGTTCTATGACAAGAGATTGAAGGACCTGCAAATACTTAGATTTGAGAAGGGAAGACCGAGCAGGGGCGTGGGGGCACTCTTCAAAGACCTGAGGACAGAGAAGAACAGAATCCCTTCTCTGTCACCCCAGAATGTTAGGAATGGCATTCAAGCTGCAAGAAGGCAGATTGCAGTTCCTAACAGTAAGAGCGGTTTGATTGTGGAATTAATTGCTCAGAGAGGTGTTGAATTTCCCTTCATTGGATGAATGTCTTTGGAGATTCATCATCTAGGTCACGGTTCTCCCAAAGGTGCTTTCCCAAAAGGCAACTGGACTTTCTTAGGTTCCCCCCCCCTTGAAAATGTTTTGCTACTCATGCAAGAAGCTTCTTCAGTTCTTGGTGACCTCACTGGATGACTTCAATGTTTTAGCTTGGTTTCTGGCACTGAGTAGGGATTTGGCTTCAGTGGCCTAAATGACCACTACTTTCTTACTAAAATCCTATGAGTTTGGACAACCATCCAAATTTCTCATTCCTTCTACTAGAACTGTCTTTTCCAGATCCGTTTTCCCAGACCTTATAAAAAAATTTGAGGTGTTGTGGGTCCATTGTTAATTTTCACTGAGTCCGTTTACGGAGGGATTAAGTGACTTGGTATTCCTAAAATAACATCGGTCAGAGCTCCTTTCTAGTTTTTGCTTTCCTGTGGAGTTGATTTCATGGTCTGGTCTACCTGGTGAGATTGATAGTATGAGTGATTTTCCTGAGCATTATTCAAGCTGATGGTCACCATATTACATTGCTTCATGAGTATGATGGGTATATGATGGGAGTTGCCATCTAAACCAAACCGAAGGAATCTGCTTGTGAAAAGCAAATGGACTTAGCTTTTCATAAATAGAAAAAGGTGTCATTGTGGGAGGAAAGTTGTGCTAATTTGCAGTGGCAAAAAAATCAGGAGTTTGGTAGCACATTTTCTAACTGACCAATTTCGTTAAAAGGCATAAGCTTTCATGAGCCGCGGCTCACTTCATCAGATGCTCCATATTCAAATATCCACATCTATGCTTAATTATCAAATAAAAATAGAGGAAACATTAACATTGCTTACTAAGTAGAATGAAGATACCTTACGTCAGACATGTCAGACACAAGGCCCAGGGACCGGATGCGGCTTGCGGAGTGGTTTCAAGTGGCCCGCGAAGCCATCCTGGAAACAGTGAGGGAATGGCCCCCGCTGCCTTGGCCCTGGCCCAGGCCGGCCAGGAGCCAATGTACAATTTTGTGGTGGCCATCTATGCTGAAATGCATTCACTCTTAGCTCCACAAGGCCGTCCAGAAACAGCGAGGAACCAGCCCCTGCTGCATTGGCCCCACCCCCTGGGTACATGCTGGGGAGATGTCACCCTTTGTGAAGAATGAAGAAATGCACCATGCCTTGACGATTGCCCCGGTCCCATTCCCTTCTGCCAGAGACCCTCAGATCTGTCCCACTCCTGCCCAAGCTCCCACAGGCAGCCTTGACGCGAATGATGTAGAGCTGGCCATGCCCACCCAATAGGCCACACCCACTCCATCCACACCCACCCTGGCCACACCTACCCAGCCCCCCAAGGGCAACCGCAATGCTGATGCGGCCCTCAATGAAATTGAGTTTGACACCCCTGCCTTACATCATTTTGACAAATAGGGAAATCTCTGTAACTACTATGGAAATTATCAACTTAGTCATTTTAGATGACAAGTGGTAATGCTATATGAATCAACTGCGTTTGTAGAATTAGTAAGGGCAACCATTTTACCAGTTGAATCAGATAAACATTGATAATATTACTTCCAGATCTATGACAGGGATCAGAAGAGAAGGATGAATCAGTTGTTTCTAGTGAGAGATCATAAGGCAAGGGAAAGGAAAAGTTATATGGAAAATGGAAGTTCCCACAGAAGTCCTGGTCCCTCAATTCTCTTTACTGCTCTGAATCTGCTGCTGTAACTGATTTGGAGTAGTCTTCTACCACTTGATAGAAGCTTGTGAATAACGGGTTAAGTTCATCTCCATCATAAAATCAATGATAAAGAAAGCACTATAATTACAAATAAATATTGTAGTCTTCAACATTCTATGGATGCCTTCCAGATGTTTGCACTTTAAAAAGTGTTTGCTGGTTGGCAATTGTAGTAGGCACCAGCCTAGAGAAAGATGGAATAGCTGTTATCTCATAGGATGATTGAAATGGTGAAGATGCTGTATATAAAAATGATGACATTGCATATGTTGCATTTATG